TTGTTTCCATACACTTTTGTAGGAAGTCCCAATTGACTTGGTCATATGCTTTTTCAAAATAAAAAAAGAGGATTGCTGCATTCAATTGTTTGTTCTGGATAAATCTAATTGATTCTGCTAGTGACATCACATTGTCTAGGATGAAACGTCCAGGAATGAAACCTATTTGATCTATGTGAAAGCAATTTTTGGTGATCTTTCTTATCCTGTTGGCTAGTAGTTTTGCCAAAATCTTGTAAGCTACTGTTAGTAGGGTGATGGGCCTGTAGTTCCTGATATTTGTTGGGTCGCCCTTCTTGTAGAGTAGTGTGACTATACCGGTGCTAAGTTCTGGTCCTAGCGTTTCCTTGTTCCATGCCCTTCTTATGAAGTGACAATATTCACCTCCTAAGAGTGGCCAGTAGATTTGCCAAACTACTTTTGAAAGCCCATCTATGCCAGATGTTTTATCTGACTTCATGGAATCTAAGGCTTTTTTAATTTCTTCGTTTGTGATGGGTTGGTCTAGTTCTTCTGCCATGTCGTGTGTGATGGTTTTGTCTAAGTGTTTGCTGAACTTTTCTTTGGCCTGAAGGATTACTCTAGGGGTGGGCGATTCTGTCTTGGAGGTATAGAGTTCTTTGTAGAAGGATTCAGCTATGGTGAGCATTTTCAGTGGGTTGGAGGTTAGGCCTTCCTCCCCTCTAAGCTGACTAATGGCTGAGTTTCGTCCTCGTGCCTTGATTTTCTGGAAGAATAATTTTGTCATTTTCTCTCCTTTTTCCCATTCCATTACTCTGGCTCTGAGTCGCAAGCCATTTGCTTTCCAAGCATTCCAACTGGGTAATTCTGTTCTGGCCCTAGTTAGTAGTTCTTCGTAGTCTGTGGAGCCAGGGTTATTCCATAGCTTGGTTTCCGCGATATTGACTGCTGCCTCTAGCTCTTTGATTCTCTTATTTCTTTTTGCTGCTACGTTCCGTGATGCTGCAACTGCTGCGTTAGATAGGTTGGCGGTTAGGGTTGGGAAGTCTGATCCTGCTCATTCCGAATCAATGCAGGCTTGTGCTATGGCCTGTTTCATTTCGCTGGTGTGGAGAATGAAGTTGTTGATCTTGAAGAAGCCTGGTCCTTTTTGTAAACTGGTGTCGAATATTAAATCTATGAAGATTGGGCTATGATCTAATCCATTATGGTAGGGTAGTTTTCCTATGCCTACTTTTAATATGGCGCCTATGAGAGATTCAGATATCAAGAAGAAGTCTATGGCTGAGTATGTGACGTGTTGGGTTCTGTTTATTTTCCTGTATGTGAATCTGTTTGCTTCTGGGTGGGTTGTTCTAAGGGGTTCAAGTAGATTTCTTTCTATTATTAAACTATGTATTGCCTGGGTCTCTGTTTGGAGCTGGTATTCTCTTCCTATTTGAGAGCCTAACAGCCTGTCATGGGATGGGTCTAGTGTTGTGTTCCAATCTCCGACCAGTATTATATCTGTCTCTTATACACATCTAGATGTGTATAAGAGACAGGTTATAGTGTTGTGTTCCAATCTCCGACCAGTATTATATGGTTTTGAACACTGCATATTGTTGTTAGGGTCTGGATAAAATGTTGTCTTTGGGCTGAATCGTTCGGGGCGTAGGCGTTTATGAGTTGGAGGGATTCTTCCTTAAAGGTGAAGGTTGTTTCTATCCACCGGCCGTATTCTTGGTCTATTCTGTTGGGACCTAGTTGTATCAATTTAGCTGCTCTTGAGTTTTCATGCCAAAGGATGGCTGTACCCGCGGAGCCGGCTCTTGTGGACGGGGCCCAAATTGCTGCTCGCACAKATTTTAAYCTTAKACTTATCTTCCTAATTRTTTCTTTGYGCTCTGGGGAGTCTGTAAGATGGGTTTCTTGTAGACATACTACATCTGGGGGGTTCCTAGAGTACCATTTTAGATAGTTGGTCATGTTGTCCCATTTGTCTAGGTTGGTTAATATTGTAGCTAACSCGTTGACGTTCCATGACATCACTGATAGTTCAGGCTCTTTTGGCTTCAGCGTGTAGTGTTTGGGCCTGTTTTCTGTCTGGGGAAGTTGAGATGTCATGGTCTGTCTGGGGTGTACTTGTTATTCTTTCGCGTTGGTTTGAATTAGTTATCTGTGGGCTCAAAGACGTGACCGGTATTGTAGCCTATTAACTGGGACCAGGGCCTTTTGGGGACTGACTGTGTGAAACCCTTTCAGAAGCTACCAATGCCTACAATGTATTACATGCACACCCAGCCCATGCTGCTGAATGGTACACACATGCGACTGTTAGTATACAAATCACGAGTTCAGAGTTCAAATCATGATGGAATCACATGAACACAATAATGCTAGGGGCCACTCCTTTTTATTAAAAACAACAACAAAAAAAACAGAAGAAACTACTATGCATTATCTTGTCTCAGTGTGCAGAGTGAACCAGAGGTGAAAGGGAAAAGTTAAAATGATTAAAAAAAACTTAATAATAAAGTAATAGGTTGGGGTTAGTGGCCTAGCTCAGTTGGTAGAGCACATAAGTGGGGCATTCAGGAGGTTGTGGATTCGACTCCCCAGGGGCCCTTGCGGCACACTTCTGATTCACCAGCTGAGATAGTTCGCTTGCCCCCCTTGGTCGCTCTTGGTGGGGATGCCCTCCCTCCCATCCAGCGCAAGGGGTTAGGTTCAACTCTGAGGGGGTAGGCTCAGCCCCAAGGGGGATGGCTCAATCCTGCGGGGCTAGGGGAGCTGGCAACCCATAACTCCCAGCGTCCAACTTGTACAATGTCATATACAAGAAGTAAGAAGTTGAGAACTGAATTCCTGGGTGCTTTGCTGGTAGCTAGTGTGAGGTTGTTCCTATATCGAGAGAATATAGCAAAAGCTGTCTCCCTTTGAGGCGCAGACAGCTTTTTCTTAAAAAATACAAACAAAAATAAAAATAAAGTAACAAGTTGCTAAACTGCTAATAACATTGAAAATGGAATGCTAAGCATGAGACATACCATAACGTCTCAGATAGTAAAGCCACTCACCCAGTTGATGTGCACAAACTATAATTTCTCAGAGTGGCTATAAAAGTCGATGTGCACATAGCAAAGCCAACCTGGGCAGTAGATGATGGTAAACCACTCACCCACAAGGATGAAGCTGATTGCATACGCCAGGAAAGATGGCTCCTTCTCCCTTATGTCATCATACAACAGAGACCAGTCATCGAGCGTGATGAGTTGAAAGAGGACAAAGAAGGCCTTTCCCAGCGTTCCAAACCGTGATGGATACGACTTTCCGTACAAGCTCCGTCCAATTACAGCAAATGTGTCTACCATCGCCGCAGCATGTCACCCGACAATCGAATGGTGTTGGCAGCCACCCAGAGCGCAGACACTCTGTCAAGGAAAAGAATCAAGTTCTGCAGACAGACAAACCAAAACCAAACGTGCTGTCTGGACCGAGGCCCAGACAATTTGGACTGGTCCAGACGTCCTGTAATCCGGACAGGACAGGACCCAGACCGTCCGGACCCGTACACCAGACACAAAAAATGTCCGGACCGGGAAAAAAAAAAAAAAAAAAAAAAAAAAAACTTAGTATTAAGCAGTACTAACCACAGCTTACTGTCTTTCACTATTCACAACGTGACAGCTTCATACTGTCACAGACATTCACAAAGGCTCACACAACACTTGAAACCAGTTCTCAAC